AACCCTTCACCTAAGGCTCAGTGAAAATCCTGGAAGAGGGGACAGGAAGATTGTAAGATCTACAGGACTAGGATGTCACTGTGAGATGGTATCTTCTAAACAGGACAGAGATGCTGTAACCATGAAATCTTGACAATATTGTTGAATAAACTAGATGTCCACAATATAGGGGTAACTTCTCAGTTCCCCACCCTTCAATAAAGAGCTTTAGATAATCAATGACTGCTGAGAGAGGGAGAGCCTGTTTCCTCCAAGAACAAGCTCCCTAATAGGTAATTCAATCCCAATGGTCAGCTCTAAACACATGTACATATACATGACATTAACTGGGCTCAAATGCTTCACACACAGAGAAAAGCATACACACATGTAAAAGTATTAGTTAAATGTGAAGAAGTAATGAACTTGAGATGGAGTGAGGGATGGCTACAAGTGTGGATATTGATGGGTACAGTACTCAGGTTAAAAAAAATCTCAGAAAAAAAGCCATTTTAATTAAATTTTTTACAAATCAGCAAGGTAATCTCAGCTCAGACCTGATGCTATGGTGAGTGGTCTGGGTTCAGTGTTCATCACTGAATGAGAAGACTTGGGGATCCAGCGCTGGGCTCCTCTGCAGGAGCTGCAGGGTCAGGGATGGGCTGTTTTTCAAGAGCACAGGGAGGCCTTGTATGCATTCCCTGCTATTCTATTATGAACTCTGCATTGGGCGGATTAAATATGTGAATGCCTAGAGTAGATGAAGGAGACAAAATAAGTAATAGGAAAAGAATTAAAGAATTATCGATTATGCATTTGTGATATAATTCAAAGTCCCATCTTAACATGTTTTTTAACATAATCACCCCATACCTTATGTGCTCCACAGAGAACATCATAATCCAATGTTGATAATTTTAGACAGAGTAACAAAGCTTATGAATGTTGAATCCAGATATTAAACTGAAGAAATTGGTTTCATAGATGTAGCTTAGTGCTGATTCATGAAAAAACAACAGGTGTGTGATACCCAGTGTTGAAAAATAAAGCTGCACAAATTCTATAGACTGTATTTCTGTGTAAATAATGTTTTAAATTTTTGAACTGTTGTGTTTATATTTATTGTTTATCTGCTGTGGGCTGTTTCATGTAGCCCTCCTGTAATAAAGGACCCATGCCTGTAAATACCCAAAGACAGAGAGAATTCTAGACACTGTATTCTAGGGCCCTGCTTTCATGTCGTTCCATCCCTCCATTCCTGCCTCTTCCCCAGGACACGTCACTCTATACTGATTTGGGGTGAGACTCAGAATGAAGAGCCATGTCACAGGCTCCCATGAGAAAATATTATTAGGTCTGAGTTTTTAATTGAGGAATTCTTTCTTTTATGAGATAAACTGTCTTCAGGGTGATTTGAGAGGGTCTTCAAATTGTGTCGTTTCTGTTTCTTCAGGATTCCCAGGAGAGTAGCATAGATTTGAGGAACTAACTGCAGTGATCTCTGTCAAATCTTGTATCCTTCAAGGGAAGGGTTCTAGCTGACATATGATAAGGTCTCCTGGAAGTGGAGATGAGGCTGAACAGGGAGAAGTTTTGTTTTCTGACTCCACAATAATTTCATTTCCCAACAGTGTATCCCGTTTTCTGAATCGTGGAAAATCCAGTGCCAGTAGGTATCAGCTTGTAGTAGAATAGTCAGAGACAGCTCAGGTGAAGACGGTCCCTGTGATGGGTTTAGCAGGCCAGGTCCAAATGCCTTGACAGTCACCACACTGAAAACTAATCAAGGACCCATGGGTGACAGACAGGAATCCTGACTTTGGGAAGCTGAAATAGAAAGAAAAGCACACCTGTCTCTGTCCTAGTTGCTCAGCCTCCTATGAGCAGAGAATTGTACACTTCCCTCTACCAAGAATGCATTTCCCCATCATGAGAATAGAATAATATTTGAGTTTTGAGACTTCTGTAGTTACAGACAGAGATTCCAGAGCTCAGGTTCTCCTGAGTCCTCCACGAGGTCTGCTAGAAATGTTTTCATAAACTCACATAGAGTGTAAATCTGTGATTCGATATCATTTGCTCTATGATACATAAAATATGCTATTTAATATGAAATAATGCCTCTGATATTCAGATTTTACCAAATTAAAATTTGAAATGTATATTTTTTATACCAAAAAATATTGTTATTGCTTAAAACAAACAAGAAAATGAAATTTATGTTCTTCCTTGAATCCCCCAGTACAAAGTACTTCAAATATATATTTTAGGGTGTAGTTTGAGTTTTCCTGCCTGGCCCACAGTCAGGACAAATCTGTCTCACCCGCCAGTCCCACAGCCGTCAGACCCAACCAAGTAAACACAGAGACTTATATCGGTTACAAACTGTATGGCCGTGGCAGGCTTCTTGCTAACTGTTCTTATAGCTTAAATTAATCCATTTTCATTAATCTATACCTTGCCACATGGCTCGTGGCTTACCGGCATCTTCACATGCGGCTTGTCATCATGGCGGCTGGCAGTGTCTCTCTCACTCAGCCTTCCACTTCCCAGCTCTATTCTCCTCCTTGTCCCGCCTATACTTCCTGCCTGGCCACGGGCCAATCAGTGATTTATTTATTGACAAATCAACAACACATTTGCCATACAGAACATCCCACAGCATTAGGGAGTACTGTGATTTACATAGCACCCCTGAATGATAACTATGCAGTATTAGCTCTCATAGGAATCTTTTGCTTCTTCTGAGCAGAAAGTAAAGTAGAATCTGTGATTTGAAAGAAAATTTTCCAGAGCATATCTCAATCTTAGGGATTCACTTTTCAATCTTTCAGCCATTCAGAACTCTTTCTGGAGTTCTCTCCCACATGCAGTATGAGGTGCTGGGTACTTTAAAATGTCTCACCCCGCAGATATCAGACATGTCCTTGAATCAAGGTCTCACATTCATTTGACAGATGCCTCCCCAGTTCATTGGAGAGTCCCATTCAATGCAGAAGCCTGAAGTGGAAGATTCTTCTGCTTCCTAATCAATCCCTGCTTTCCAGTTGGAGGAAGACAGGAGGATGTTCTATGAAATCATAGGTATTTGAAATAGTGTTTAAAACTCAATATGGGTTTGCATAATCTTTAACATAGAATTTCCCTATTGGTTTCTTGCCTGAAACAATGCATTCCCCACATGGTTGCATACATATTAAACACATAACATTGATATTTGTCATGGGGGGATGCCTGCTAGAGGAGCATGAAATGTTATTGTTCTGAGATAACAAGTATTCTTATTGACTTAAACCCTTGAGATTACCAAATATTCACGTTCTCCATGCTGGTTGTTATTCACATATTTATCCAAAATCCCATGATCTATAAAATTGTCACCACCAGCTACCCAGTGGAATGTGAGAGAACATGCTGTATCAGTGTAGGTCCACATTCTATAAAGACTTTAGAGTGTAGGTCAGAGGACTGAGACTGGGAAGGTAGCAAATAGACTAGGGAATACTGTATAATGCATAATTTCAGAACTATTGACAATTCACATGTACATACATTGTGTCAATAAATGAGTTCAAGTTATGCTTTTGTGGTAATACATTATGATAAAAACATCTCTTACACTCTAAGAGACTGAAACTTTTGCTGGACCACACATCCAGAATGAACAACACACTTTGAAATTCTTCAGCGTGAAATCATTACTATACATTCATACTGGTTGTTTAAACTGCCTATAACAGAATATTGTAACACCCAACATTAATTGTCTAGGATTTCCCATGTATTCAACTTTTACAAAATGAGATAATGCATACTTCTAACCTTATTTTGTGTGCTCTTTCATGCTCCTGAATGAAGAGTAATTTGTGTTAGGCACAGAGGAGCATAAGGCTCAGATTCTGGATGGGTGCTGTGGCCTCCTATGCATTTTATTTATTTATTTATTTATTTATTTATTTATTTATTTATTTATAAATATTTTTATTTTCTAATTAATTTAATTTTACATATCAGCCTCGGATTCCCCTGTCCTCCCTCCCACCCCTAACCCTTCCCCCAATTACCCCCCATTTCCACCTCCTCCATGGCAAGGTCTCCCTTAGGGAGTTAGCCCAGCCTGGTAAATTCAGTTGAGGCAGGTCCAGTCCCCTCCTCTCTGCACCAAGACTGAGCAAAGTGTCTCAGCATAGGCCCTAGGTTTAAATGCAAAGAGAAATGGTCACTTTGAAAAATAATATAAACACAAACTCATTAATCCTCCTCAGTACAGTAAATCTCACTCTAAAATAATATAAACTAAAACTGTCTTATCATCCTCAGTATAGTAAACATCCCTCTAAAATACCTACAAAATGTAAAATGCATTTTCACTGATCCAGTCTATGTCAAAATAGAAGTGTTGACAAAGAGAATGGGATTTCAGGAAACAGGGGAATGAGCACCCAGGGCTGCTGATGACAGGATCAGGTCTCTTCATTCCCAGCTTGGAATCCACTGCTCTTTCCCCAGTGCTATCTGAGCAGGAGTCCAGCTTGTTGCCAAAGTAGCAGACTCCACACCCTGGGGACTCCACATGACAGTCAGCTCTATCCCTAATCCTAAAACAAAAAGAGATTTGATTACTTCTACCAAAAGCAATTCATGATCAGATGTATCAAAACTAAAAGACATTAAATTACATTTCATAGGAGAGGTTAAATCACCTACACAAAAATCTATGGGACCCCTTCCAACAAACTGCCTGTGCTTGTCTTAGGGAAACCAATGTGGACTACGAAAGGGGTTTTGTTTGTGCACATGCTGTTGATATGTCTTTCACTGGACTGACTCATATTATACCTTATTCCCACCTACTCCATCAACAGTTCCAGTCCCCTAGATTTAAGAGATATTTATATCATAATGGATTGCTACAGCTTGTCCTATTTTAGTTTCTTAAAAAAGAATCATGTCAATGGAGGTGGTCGCAGGTAAACAGCTGGTCAAGGCATGGTGCACTCTAAGGGCATCCTGAATCAACATCACTTTATTCCCAGCAGTCCTTTTGAAAAGTTGAAAAACACCCTATAAGACTGTGAAATGACAGACAAAGGGACACTCAGAACGATTATTTCTGAGCAAGTCCCCAGGCTAAACATCTCTGTCATCTCAGTCCCAGGGCAGCTTCCTGCTCCTCCAGGCTTTCTGACACACTCAGGATGTGGTTGCAACACTGTGTCTCTTGCACAGTAATAGACCGCAGAGTCCTCAGAGGTCAGCCTGTTGAGCTCCATGTAGGCTGTGCTGGAGGATGTGTCTGCAGTCAGTTTGGCCTTGCCCTGGAACTTCTGATTATAGTTAACAATGTCATATTCAGGATAAAAGTATCCAATCCACTCCAGGCCCTGTCCAGGCCTCTGCTTCATCCAGTGCATAGTGTTGCTAGGGAAGGTATAGCCTGAAGCCTTGCAAGACAACTTCACTGAGGCACCAGGTGTCCCCAGCTCAGGACCAGACTGCTGCAGCTGGACCTGGGAGTGGACACCTGTGGAGAGAAAGGCAGAGAACTTGTCATTGTCACCTCAGTACATATTCCTTCTTCAGGTTTGGAACTGGAAAGCCCCTTACCTGTAGTTATTGACATGAAGAAGACAATAATAATCCAGCTCCATCCCATGGTGAGGACCTTTGTCTTCTGTAACTATGGAGAGTACACTAACCATATGTTGTTCTGGGGTGTGGACTTCCTTGTATTTACTACCACAGACTCAAGTAATTTGCATATTCATGACCAGGGCACTTCTTAGATCAGGACCTAGTCCTGCTGGAGAAGAAAGAGGTAGAGAACAGCTGGGTCAGGCAGTATGATGCCAAGGGCCAAGTCCTAATCCTCTCTGAGGAAATGTGCAGCATCCTCCTTCTGTGATCCCTGTGCAGATGCTGAGGATGTAACATCAGGACAAAAGTTCTCAACAGATTTCAGACCTGAGAAAGCTGCTTCACTGTCTGAACAGGCTTTCAGGTTAGTGACTGTGACGATGACGATGATGATAGTGATGGGAAATTTAAAACCTGTGAAGTTATGAGAATTTACAGCCTCCTTTCAGATAAATGCAATTAATATTTGCCATTCCAACAGATAATATACCAAAAACCTCATCCAAATGTCCAAAAGTAAACATATTTCACAAATATTTGCACAACAATTAATATAGCAGCAACATCACAATAACTAAATTATGGAAATAAACTATGTGTCTGTCAACAGAGGATTTCATCAAGAAGACATGTTTATATAAACAACACAACCAAAGTCTTCCATCTGCAAGGAATATGGAAACTGCATCAGTTATAGAAAAAGGGATGCAACTAGAGATAAATGTATTCAAGAGCATCTCAGAAGCACAGACATTAAATGAGACTCTCATTTGTAGTTCTTAGATATTTCATACTTATATACAACTAGGAATACAAATACATGAGGAAATATAAGTGAAATTGTCTAGTATAATAAAGGTAAAGTAGGAAGAGAACGAAAATGAAGGGTAGATATTATGGGGAAATATATGCAGTGTACAAAATATATGTGTATGAAAATTCTAAACATAAGTAAAATTGTTATTTTTACATTTAATAATTTGTATTGTTTGAAATTTTAACCCATGTATAAAATATAGTATGATCATATCTACAACCACTATGCCCCACATGTCCTCTTGGGACCTTCCAATAAGTCTCTCTCCCAACTTCCTGACCACTTTTGTTTCATTAACTAATAACACAATGAATCAATCAGTGCTATCTATATACACATAGATATTTTCCTTATCCATCATAAATGCCAATAGATCTTCACCTTGGTGTGGGTCCTAGGAGTTTCTCTCCATCCATGTTACAGTTTTAAAAATTGTTATACTATCTTTAGTAGTGAGAACAGGGCAGGAGAGGACAGAGGAAAGATCTTGGAGTCCCCTGAACACCAACTTCATCTCTACTGGGGATTCATGGCTCCATTGTGCCACCTGCTGTTTCTGAGCTCCCCTGCAGGTTGGTTTATCATGGCTTACACTGAAGTTGCAAGGTCTATTTTTAATTATTTTTTGAAATTCCTTTTATGAACCAAGAAGAGATCCCCCCTCATTCCTCCTCCCTCGACCCCCACCTTCTCCCCCAGACCCACCCTTCATCCCTTCTTCCAACAGGGTAAGTTTTTTCATGGGAGACAGCAAAGCCTGGTACATTCAGTTGAGGCAGGACCAAGCCCCTCTCTGTTTTAACAGGGGTGAGCAAGGTGTCAGACCGTAGGGAATGGGATCCAGAAAGACAGCTCATGCACCAAGGATAGATCCTGATCACACTGCCAGGGCTCCTCAAACAGACCCAGCTAAACAACTGTCTCCCATATTCAGGGGGTCGAGTCTGGTCCCAAGCAGGTTCCATAGCTGTCAGGATAATGTTCATGAGTTCCTTTGACTTGGTTCAATTTGTCTCTGTAGATTTCCCCATCATGATCTTGACCGCCTCCTGCTCATATAACCCCACTTCCCTTTATTCGACTGGACTTCCAGTTCTCAGACTGGTGCTTGGTTGTGGATCTCTGAATCTGCTTCCATCAGTTACTGGATGAAGGCTCTATGATGATTATTAGGGTATTCACCAATGTGATTATGAGGGTAGGCCAGTTTAGGCACCCTCACTATTATTACTGGTAATCTAATCTGGGGTCATCCTTGTTGGTCTCTGGGAATTTCCCTAACACCAGGTTTCTCCTTTAGTCCATAATGTCTCCTTCTATCAATATATCTCTTTCATTGTTCTCCCACTCTATCCCTCCACCATCTTGACCATCCCTTTCCCTCATGTTCTCATCCCCCATCCCCTCCCTTCTATTGCCCTCCCCTCATCCACAATTTACTCATCGGGATATCCTCAGTTTCCCTTCCCAAGGTGATCCTTGTATCCCTTTTATGGTCCTACTTTTTCCGATCTTTGGAGCTGTGAGTTGTAGTATGATTATCCTGAGAAAGAAATCAGAGACACATCACCCTTTACAAATAGCCACAAATAATATAAAATACCTTGGAGTAATGCTAACAAGTGAAAGACCTGCATGATAAGAAATTTAATTCCTTGAAGAAAGAAATTGAAGAAGATATCAGATAATGGAAAGATCTCCCATGCTCATGGATAGGAAGAACCAACATAATAAAAATGGCAATCTTACCAAAAGCAATCTACAGATTCAATGCAATCCCCATCAAAATCCAAGCAAAATTCTTCACAGACATCAAAAGAACAATACTCAACTTCATATGGAAAAACAGAAAACTTAGGATATCTAAAACAATCCTGTATAAGAAAAGAACGTCTGGAGGCATCACCATCCCTGAGTTCAAGCTCTACTATAGAGCCATAGTAAAAACAACAGCTTGGTATTGGCATAAAAACCAACATGTGGACCAAAGGAAAAAAATTGAAGATCTTAACATTAATCCACACACATGGAAACACCTGATATTTTACAAAGAAGCCACAACTGTACAATGAAAAAAAAAGAAAGCATCTTCAACAAATGGTGCTGGCATAACTGAATGTCAAATGCAGAATATTGCAAATAGATCAATATCTATCACTATGTACAAAACTCAAATCCAAGTGGATCAAAGACCTCAATATAAATCCTGCTACACTGAACCTGATAGAAGAGAAAGTAGGAAGTAGCCTAGAAAGCATTGGCACAGGAAACCACTTCCTAAATATAGCACCAGTAGCAAAGACACTGAGAGCAACAATTAATAAATGGGACCTCCTGAAACTGAGAAGTTTCTGCAAGGCAAAGGCCACAATAAATAAGATAAAATGAAAGCTTACAGAATGGGAAAAGATCTTCACCAACCCCACATCTGACAGAGGACTCATTTCCAAAATATATAAGAACTCAAGAAAATAGAAAGCAAAATACCAAACAACCCAATTAAAAATGAACTACAGATCTAAACAGAATTCTCAACAGAAGAATCCCAAATGGCCAAAAGACATTTAAGGAATTTTTCAACATCCTTATTCATCAGGGAAATGCAAACCAAAACAATTCTGAGATTCCATCTTAAACCTGTCAGAATGGCTAAGATCAAAAACACTGATGAAACCTTATGTTGGAGAGGATGTGGAGCAAGGGGAACACTTCTCCATTGTTGGTGGGAGTGCAAACTTGTATAGCACTGTCTTTCTTGAGCAGTAACACACCCCGATAGCTTCAGTGTTCAAAGAGTTTAGCTTGAGAGAGAAATGATTGCTGTTAATCTGGAGATGCTGACTGGATACATCAGAGTTTGATTTTAAGATGTTTCCATACTGTCATCAATGCCCCTCTCAATGCCAGCCTCCTCCCTGGTGACAGTTGGATCCAACTCTAGCAATTACCACTTGTGTAAAGTCACAACAATAAAGAACAACAGGAGACTACATTTCTTCAGACTATATCTGGGACAGAGCACCTGATGTCAGAGAACCACAATCAGTCATAAACTTAGATGCAGCCCACAATTTATCCATGTATGCATTCCTGAGACATGCAGATAAAGGGGTCAACAGAAAGAGGATAACCCACTGTAGTGCTCACAGAAAAGTTAACAATTATACCATGAGAAAATATACTCACATTAAGAAGGAAGTAGAAATGAAGCAAATATATGCTGTGAATCAATCTGTTTCCCACACTGCATTTGCATGCATTTAAAGGAATGAGGGCAGAGAGCAGATCTCCTTGACAAGAATTCTCATGGGTTAACCTATTTAGAAGCTGAACATTTTCATGGATTTGAAATATGCTCCCAGGAATGGGATAATCCAATATCACTATGCAGGGTTACATGTACATTTGTGTTTAAATGTCTGAAATATAGCTACAATATTTACACAATGCACACTACATAAATTCATGCTAGTCATGTATATTTTGCTCTAATTTTAGCTCATGGGTCAGATGCACCTAATGTTGAGGCATAAAAGGATCTGGGACCAGTCTGTTGCATATCTGCTCTTCTATCACTTATCCCTACAATTCAGGGTACTGGATGGTTTTTTTCTTGGCATTTTAGAATCTCTGTTGGGCTAAGTAATCTCTATAAAGCCATATTTAACTTTAGTACATAAGATGCTAATGGCTATCATTGGTTACAATGGACAGGAATGCATGCCTACTAAATAGTATGGAGACTTTCTCTTCTTTTTTAAAAAAAAATTAATTTTATTTTATTTTACAATACAATTCAGTTCTACATATCAGTCACGGATTCCCTTGTTCTCCCCCCTCCCACCTCCCTCCCCTTCCCCCAGCCTACCCCCCATTCTCACCTCCTCCAGGGCAAAGCCTCCCCCGAGGACTGAGATCAACCTGATAGACTCAGTCCAGGCAGGTCCAGTCCCCTCCTCCCAGGCTGAGCCAAGCGACCCTATATAAGCCCCAGGTTTCAAACAGCCAACTCATGCAATGAGCACAGGACCAGGTCCCACTGCCTGGATGCCTCCCAAACAGATCAAGCCAATCGACTATCTCACCCATTCAGAGGGCCTGATCCAGTTGGGGGCCCCTCAGCCATTGGTTCATAGTTCATGTGTTTCCATTCGTTTGGCTATTTGTCCCTGTGCTTTATCCAACCTTGGTCTCAACAATTC